GGGGGCTTTGGGGGGGGGTCAGGTCTAGGCCTAGCGCTATCGTTATCGCTATTAATCCCCTGTAGAATTGACCTGGTGCAATTTCTCGCCCTCGGTTCTAGGAGCTTGGGCCATCTTTCCATTGTAAGCTAACAACCAGCTCCCAGGGGTATCCTGTACCACCTCATGGTGTAACCTATCACTGGAGAGACGAGGGACGGGCTCTGTCCTTCAGAGAGAGAGAGAGAGCGAGAGAGGGAGAGAGCAGGCTGAGTGAGAGCTCCTTCCCCCTTCCCAGCCAGCCCAAAGTGACGTTGAGCATTCTTTCGGTTCCCCCCTTTGCCCGACCTTTTTTTTATTTTTTTTTTGTTTTCCTTTCTTTTCTTCTTTTCAGCCTTGGTGCCTCCTCCAGTCTGCAACAATTATCATCTCATTTTACTTTGCCCCGTCTAAAAGGTATGTAATCATGTCGAGTCGGTTCTCCGAACAGCTCCTAGATTCCCAGTGACCCTACAGTGGAATGACTTTTTTTTTTGCCTTTTTTGTTTTCTTCGATTCACTGTCCCCCCTTCACTGCCATCACGAGGGCAGGGAAAAGGTCAGACGAGACCGAAAACCTGGTATTCCTGCTGTCCTCATTTTCTTTTCTCATTTCTTAATGGGGGGTTTTTTTTCTCATTATTTTTTCTATCCACAGCCATCTCAATGAATTCTTGTTTGATGGGCCGCCCGCTCATCTTGTCCTAATTTCATTTAGATTGGATCCACAGACTTCATCAGTCGACCGTTGACAACAATCGTTGAACGGCTGAAACGCTTAATTTCTCATCTCACACGACACTGAAGAGGGCCGAAAAAGAAAGAAGAAGAGAAAGAGAGGGAGAGAGAGGGAGAGACCTAAAATCGACATCATGCCCTACCGCGTCGGTACGTTGGTCCTTTTGTCCTCCCTTGCACGATCCGCGTTCTTCTTTCTCCTCCCCCCGATGTCCCGTTGCTAACCATATGAACAACATTGCCACAGACGTCTCCCCAAGTAACAGGGCTGTCTGCCAAGACAGTGTCTGCAAGCACTTGAAAAAGACAATCCCCAAGGGAGAACTGCGCTTCGGTTCCTGGTTAGAATTCGGAGACCGCGGTAGTTTCAAGTGGAAACATTGGGGATGCGTCTCCGGCAAGCAGATGCAGGCCCTGCAAGAAGCCGCCAAGCGCGGTGACGGTTTCGATTTCGATGCTGTTGATGGATACGACGAAATGGGGTATGATTTCACCTTTGACGTTTTCGATTCGTAGCCCCTTGACTACTTCAAAGCCGCAATCAACCTGCTAACATTCACGGAAACCCGAACAAAAAGTGACCATCCCGAGTTTCAAGCCAAGGTTCGCGAGGCTGTTGAGTTGGGTCATATTCCTCCCGAAGATTTTAATGGTGTAAGCTCATTTCTCCCTCGATTTGTTCTGAGAAAAAAGAAGAAAAGAAGAAAAGAAAAAGAAGAAAAAAGACAGTAAAACCTGGTTAAGCCACAGTAACTGATCACAAGCCTTCAGGACCCCGAGTTCAACGTCCCCGGCAAATCAGGCATTCGTAGCGCTCAGAAAGTCAAGCAACTGAAAGCCGGAGAGACCTCCGAGGTCGACGATGATGCCAACGTAAGTTCTTTCTTTTTCCTCTATACCATCCATACACGCTGCCGTGTTCCCTTCTCGGCAAGTCACCCTCGTTGACCCCACGGACGCCTGCAGGCGGAAGCCGAAGCTGCTCCCGCAAAGGCCAAGAAGCGTGGCCGCAGAGCCGCTCCCGCCGAGGATGACGACCAAGAAGAGGACGCAAAGCCCAAGAAGCGGTCCAGGAAGGCCGCGGCCAAGGTGAAGGACGAAGCCGAGGCCGAGGAGAAGGAGAAGGAGAAGGAGAAGCCCAAAACAAAGTCGAAGAGCAAGAAGACCGCCTCCAAGGTGGAGGAAGAAGAGTCCGAAGACGAAGATGAGGAGGTAAAGGTTGACCCCAAACCCAAGACAAAGGGTAGAAAGGCCGCTGCCAAGGTCAAGGCAGAGGAAGAAGAGAAACCAGCGCCCAAGCCCAAAGGCAAGAAGGCGGCTCCCAAGGCCCCAGCCCCGGCGAGGAGGCGGTCCCTGCGCCAGGCCAATTTGCCCTCCGACGTCGAAGCCCCGATGGAGACGACCGAAGACGAAATCATCCAGGAGGGCTCCGACCTGGACGAGCCGGCCCCCAAGCCCAAGACGAAGCGGAAGACGAGGGCCGTCAGGAAGGCGGAACGGAAGGACGAAGGTACCGCCGCTGGTGGTGCCACCGAGGCCGATGACGAGTTGCCCCCCGAGAAGGTGAGGCCTCGTCGTCGGACCCGGAGGAGTGGCGGCGCCTGATCTGCCCCAACCAGCCTCCCAATCCAGTCGCAAGTTCGAGGGGTTTGTCGTTCAATTTGGAAGTTGGGAGACAAGGATTTTGCTTCGTTTCCCTTTCCCGTTTCCTTTTCAAACTTCACAAGTCACAAGAGCGCAAGAGTGTGTGTACTAAGGTAGCTCTTCTAATCGCTTCTGGGCACATAGGACTTAGATGGGACGGTCAGGTTCGTCCGCCGTGCCCAAGGATCGCGACAATTAACGTTCTATCTGCTCTGAAAGTACAGACAGAAAATCACGGATATATATTCCTTTCGTCCTGCATCATCAAAACTTTAACGCACTCCCAACACGTGAAGCCCCATGTGGTTCATAACTTCGTTACGGCACGGCCTTACAAATGAAAACAGGAATCCAGACAGCTGGCTATCTTTGCTTGGAATATGGCTTCGTCGCTTCATATGAACCCCACGATCAGCCGCCCCCTCTTCAATAGGCTCTCCTCAAGACGCCCCGCGTATTGTCCACGATAATCTCGCGCTCACGTAGTCGCTCGTCGTAATCCCGCCGCGAGGGGCGTCGCGAATGGTGATCCCTCCACTCGCGATCCCGCTGCTTGTCACGCTCTCGTTCACGGCGATAACGTCGAATGTCATCGGAAACCTGGACCAGCTCCAGCACATTGTCCTAGAGATGAATGTGTGAGCACTGGTTTCCACCGCCCAGCGATGTGGGTGAAAAGAGAAGAAGAAAAAAGAAGGGGGGGAGGTTCCCCGCTCGTTACCGGCGCAGACTATGCCAAGAGAAGAAGACTTACATATTTGAGATACTTCATGACGTAGAAGAAGTATTCCGTCTCCTCAAAATCATAACCACACTCGATAATGGCATCGCGGATGACCAGGTCTTTGGTGATTTCGGTCCACATCTCGTTCTGTTTCGACTTGGGCGCAGGACGGCTCCGCCTGTCACGGCTGATTTCGATCTCCAGCTCTCGCTCGTAGCCCCTGGAATCCCGGGCCGGGGGCGCTGGGGCTGGGGCTGGGGCCGATGCGGCTTCGTCGCGCTCTGGGATGAACTTGGACCTCCGAACACCGTTATAGCGCTGCCAGGTAACCTCGGCGGCGCCCCCGCCCACGCCGTCCATGCGGACACGCTCCGTGCCGGGCGGGACGTCGACAATGGCCCAATCCTTGGTCGCGCCGTTCCATGCCTCTCCCATGCGACCGCGGGAATCAATCCGCGACGTGATGTATTCGGCTTCCTCGGTGACGGGGGAGCAGATAGGCGCCGCCGAGTGGGCGCGCCGGCGGGAGCCAACGTGTCGGTCGTCGCGGACGACGAGTTCATTACCGTGAATATGCGGGGAACGGCGCTCGCGGCTCGGCGACCGGTGACGACTCACGGAGCGACGAACGCCGATGTCTGTCCTGCCACGAGACGTCCTTATGTCGATGTCGAGGTGTCGTTCCTCGGTCCTCGTTGGCGGCCGAGGTGCGGGTCGTGGCGCAGGAGGAGGAGCGGGACTGCGCGCTCTTACGACTCCTACGGTTCTGAGTTTAGCTGCTTTGTTTTGCGTTACGTCATAGGGTACCCCCAGTGAATAGATGGCGGGGAAAGGGAAGGGATGGGGGAGACTGCGGAGACTGCGGAGGGGGTGCGAAAACTGACCATGGTCGATGTCGCGATAGTGAGTGATAACTTCCCTCTCGATAACCGGACCGCGAATGACGGGTGGAGGAGGAGGCGGGGGGGAAGGCGAGCGGGAGGGCGAGCTGGACGGAGAACGGCGTCTCTCCCTCTCCCTCTCGATAACGCGGACACGGCTGCGGGATCTGACTCGGTCGGGGGAAGGAGAGCATCGACGCTCGAATCTAGGCCGTGGTGAGGGAGAGCGTTCGACATAACGAGGAGCCCGAGTGGCTCTCTCGCGCTCGGCGATGCGGATGCGGTCCCGTTCCTCGTGAATATGGGGAGGAGTCAGGCTGCGGGCGCGGCGACCAGGATCCACGTGTCCATAGCGAATGGGACTAGGGCTGGGGGGCCGACGGGCGACGTCGCGGGTTTCAACTTCGCGCTGGCGGAGAACGAGGGGGCCGGCATCAACGGGGCGAGGGTCCTCACGAAGAAATCCTAGGCGATCTTGATCGCGGTCTCGTTCGCGCTCTGCGTAGCGGACCTCGGGACGACGGGAGCCCTCGTGGAAACGGTCCTCAAAGTCGGAGGATCGATAGGCCATGGTGACAGGGAAGGGGTCCGTCTCTCGAGGCGATTCTGCCCCAAAGGACGTGGGAGCGTGTAAAGGGTAGAAGATGTGGAATGCGAGTAGAAGTGTGAATGTAAACGGGGTAGTAACTCGGCGTTATTACCACGGGCGCCCAGTGACGAAGGGTTCAAGGTGACAAGGGGCAAGGAGCGGGGTGTTTGGCAATCAATTGCAGGAGGGGGGACTAAAAAAAAGAAAGAAGAAAAAAAGAGGAGGAAAGGAAGCAGAAGGTAATTACCTCGCCCACAAAGAGGTGAATGGGATATGCGACAAAAAATAAAGACAAAAAAAAAGAATAAGAAAAGCAGGGAATAAAAGACACCAAGGACGTCGTGCGTAAGCGAAGTAGGTATGTATGTAAGAGATAGCAAGCAGGGATTATTCGCTGATGGAACAGGTGAAAGGAGCTAGAGCTGCTGTGCTGGGTAGACTATAACAATGATGCTAATAGTAGAAATCGACAGCGACAGCGACAGCGACAGCGGCGAGGAATGACGATAAAAATTGGATAGGTTGATTGAGAGATGTTGATGTCCTGTGTCCTGTAGCACGAAATCGAGTCGTTGGTGACGTGCCGAGCCGGGAGCGGGAGCGGGAACTTGGAAAAGCACGATTTTGACCACTATGTAATGACTTCGTACGTGATGGTGGGGGAGGGGAAGTCTATTCGTTCGTCATCGTGTCCACAGGTCATTACTCCTTACAGGTCTACTAGAGTACTATTATAGGTGGTCTTGGTCTTGGATTTGGCTGGTGGATTGTCTTAGGTGTCTGTGGTCAGGGAGGGTCGTTGTCGAGAACTATTCATAGTTTAGGGGGCGCGTGTTTTGTGTTTCGATTCGACTCTGGCGATTCTTTCCATCCTCGTCTCTTTTTTTCTTTCCCCTTCTTCTTTGATACTGGGTCTCAAGGACGGTCGTTGACTCGTGACCAGGCCGGGATAGAACGGGGGGGGGGGGAGTTGGGCGACGAGTGAGCAATGAAAGTGCTGCTATTTTCCCACCGCTTCCCACTGCTTTTGTTGCAGGCTGCAGGGGCTTCAGGGGCTTCAGGCCGCAGCTGATGTGGGCTAGCGTCACGCTGCTTGGCTTCGAAGGAGTCGGGCAGTCCTATCAGGTTTGGGGAGCCAGCTCCGTCTTGCGTCAAGGGGGATGGATTCGTCTCGATCACTTCGGTCATTTCCCGTTCTGCGACCTGTCTCGTTCTCTGCTTCTCTCGGCTTTCCTGTTCCAATCAGACGTCCAAAGGTCTTAGGGCTGAAGGGTCACCTACGAAGTAATATGTGTAGAGTGGTATGGTATCGGTAATGCGATGCAACGGACCACTGGAAGTCCCGCCCATGATAGACGGAGTAAGGAGAGTAAGGTAAGGAATCGAGAAGAAAGGAAAAGATGGAAGAGAAGAACAAGAAGGGAATAACTCGTTGTTTTTCTTTGTACCTACTTATTTGTTCAAGAACAAGGGCATACAGGGAAGGATCGTTCCTTACTCCCTGCCTTTTTTTACCTTCGTCTCCTTCCTGGCTTTCTCATAATACGAACACAGTACCTATTTCACTGCGAATTTAGTAGGTTTATTATGGTTACGGGTACTAATAGAGCCCACCCACTCTATCGGACTGACGTGACGTCACCAACTGCCTACCTACCTTAAAGGTCTCAAAGCACATACCCAGTTTCACCACCTGCTATTGGCGTGTATCGACATCAAGAGAATATCGTCGTAGTCAACCGAGTAGGAGAGGACCTTTCCACAAGGCCTCCATCGGTTCAAATGTGGCATCACATGACAGCCACGAAGGCATATGTGTATGCGAAACTCGTGTCACGCAGTATAGGCCGTGTGACACGAAATCAATCTAAATCACAGTCGAGTCGACAGCGCCGCAACCACTATCAAACATGTCCATGGTCTGCTCTGTAAACTGACAAGTTACGGCCCCCAACGGTAGGACGGCGCCCAAAAAGAAACAAAAATGTGAAAGACAAGAAAATACTCTACCGAGTAGAAAACTAGTTCCTGGCGGATGTTCACGAACCACCCCTAGATTATCAAAGGTGTTCGTTTGATTTTACCTTATCTTTATCATCTTGTCCCTCTTCTTCTACGACCCCATTCCGATTGTCTTCCCCCGCATTTTTCTTCTAATATACAACGTAAGGTACCTAGGTACCTTATCGGCCTTGCGTCGTACCTAACTCCATAATACCTGGTAAGGTAAGGTACACAGCAGATAAGACGATCCAGCGCATGTCCCAGGGTCTTTGATTAACCCGCCGCCAAGTTGTCACGTGTTCCTGGGCCCCAGGACAAAGATAGGGTGCATGGCTGCAGTCTTCTTCTATCTTCCAAGTCTCGATGGCCCGAGCCATCGTAACCAGAAACGGGCCTGCGTACGATTGATGGATAATTGCAATCGGGCACTATACTCCGTAGAGCGAATGAGCCCCAATTTCCTGAACGAGAACCCGTCGACATAACGGACCTGGCATATCACCGAGAGCCCTACTGAGACGGTATCACTGCGAGCTCGGCTTAGGGACAGCGGGATGGTTGTCGTCTCGTCGTCTTTTGTGGCTCTGTATGTATGTACGTTGTACATACGGAGGAGTCCTCGCCAGGGGTTCATCAGTTACCGGTCAAGAAGAAGAGGGGGGATCTGTTGGACGACTGACGCCGAGTCATGGATACATAGATACACGCGGGTTATTCCGTTTCCCTTCCCCTCAGCTTACCTGTGCTCTTTTCTTAAATCAACTTGCCTTCTTTGACACGACGGCCCAGGTACAGACGGTTCGCTAGTTCTCGTCACGGATGGCGCAGGTGCTCTTGCTACTCGTCCGTAACGTATCACCGCGTCGATACCGAGAAATGGCAATGAGCGGTTTATTACCTATAACTCCATACAGATACTTATCGTCACCGGTGCAGTAGGTATTTATGGCAGCGTTTTTGTTCGATTGTTTGGACGGGGAAGCACCATTCCATGTAATGAGCCACGCCCGAAGTGGTCTGTGCATGCACCACTTCGTGTTCCGAATTCGTCTCTTGTAGCCCGGCCAGGTCTGGAACCCGGGACCTGGGATCTGGCAGGAGGTGGTATCGACCATATGCCAGCTGTCAAATGGGCTCTTTACTGTCAAAGGATTCGGTTCCAAGACCGTTTGCGGACAAGTTTCATTCGATCTCGATTCATCTCTTTTTTTGCCTTCTTTCTCCAACCGCCTTGATGGATGGATGGTTTATCATACAGAATACAGTACCGGCAATCATAGAGTGGTACTACGAAGTGGCGCCCGCAAAGTACTAGGTACTTTAGTCTGTACAGTGCAGTGACTGCGTATTTGTAGGTACTTCGGTAGTCAAGTCGAAGGTACTCTGAGACCCAACAAAGAGGCGGGGAGGAGTAGAATACATAAGGTACCTAAGGTAAGGTAGGTATCGGAATCGACGGAAGGCGGGACGCCCTCCGCAGATCCCCCATGTGGCCGTCTGCTGCGCTGCGAAGGTTACCTACCTTATAAAGCCTAAAAGTTCAAGGTACCGTAGACTTTAATTTGACAGAGAAAGCGTTGTGTGTGGTGTGAACTTCCTCGCTCCCAAAAGGTTCCCCCCGCCTCAATAATCCATCTCATCTCTCTCTCTCTCTCTCTCTCTTTCTCTCTCTTTCTCTCTCTCTCTCTCTCTTTCTCTCTCTCTCTCTCTTTACCTACCACCCATTCATTCTTTTCGCCCCAGAAATCTAGTCAATCTCCTCTGCTTTCCCGGCGTCTTTCTTTGTTTCTTATTCCCTTGGGCTATTCTGGTAGACCCAAAGGCAGACCTAACGCTCCGACCTGTCGTCCCCTATCAAAATTTCTCATCTCGTGATCCATATCCTCCACGCGGTCCTTTCGTCCCTTGGGTCTTCCGTCCCTCGCTTCGTGGGACCTTCATGAGACAACCGTCCTGACTCTGTCTGATACGCCGTCGCCGACCCGAATAAACCCTAGGCCACCATAAAACCGCGCCGCCGGTCCGAACGGATCGCACCCAGCATCATGGACTTCACGCAGCAGTACTTCTCGAACCCTCAGCCCTACCAGTACATTGGCATCTCTCCCCTGACTCCTTCCCACTCCAACTCAGCGGCATCGGACGACTTTAATCCCACAAACTCTCCGCCGGTTTGTTCCTCTCTCTCTCCCCTAGTGGCTTTGTTGGATGACCAGGCTCTCGGGTCCGTGGATGGCCCCGATGCCCTCCCTCCCTACCCACCGCCAAAGGCCTGACTGGTGCATTCTCTTTGTTAGCGCGTCGAACCATGCACTTACACAATCATGACATGAGCAGGATGGCTACGCCGACTACCCCGCCGACCAGCATTTCAACGGCTTCGACCCCTATGCTGTGCCTACCCCGTTCAATGCCAATTCAAATCCCGCCGCCGCCAGCCATGCCGCTAACCATCCTGCCTTCCCGGGCCCTCCTACTCCCCCGAATCACCATCCTGCCGCCTCGACTCATGCTCCTCAGCTGCACCAGCAGCAGCTGCACTCGCAGAATGGCTTGAACGCCGTGTCCACCCCGGCCCAGTCCATCAAGCCCCATCCCGAACTCGCAGCTCACAAGCAAGAGTCTGGCGATGATCAGTCGCATCGTCGTGGCGGCTCCAACTCGGAGGATGATGACCTGACGCCCGCTCAGTCTCGCCGCAAGGCTCAGAATCGTGCTGCGTACGTTCGTCCCCGCCTCTTGCTAGTCATGGAATTTTTTTTCCCTTGTCCATCCCATAAAATCGGCCTCTTGTGGACTACAGACTACGGACTCCAGGCCTTGCCTAAAGATTGATTGGTCCCACCCACGGCTTAATTCCTCGCCTCAGCCTATGCACGATCCCGCGGTGAAAAGAATGAATATCAATATGTAGACTAACAAAACATCACTTCTCAGTCAACGGGCTTTCCGCGAACGCAAGGAGAAGCATGTCAAGGAGTTGGAAGCCAAGCTAGCCGACCTGGAAGCCGCAGCCCAGCAGACCACCTCCGAGAACGAACGCCTGAAGCGGGAGATGCAGAAGATCGCTACCGAGAACGAGATCCTACGTGCCACCTCCACCATCAACGGCACCCGCTCGCTGTCCCCCGAGGCGCATACCACGGGTCCGATGCAGTATAACCCCACCGACTTCTACTCAGACCTCCTCGCGCCGCATACCAACAAGACCCCGAGCCATCGCATCGCCTTCTCCGAGGACGGCCAGCGTCTCCTGGCCGCCGGCGCCGCCTGGGACCTCATTATCAACCATGAGCTGTTCAAGCAGGGGCTTGTCGATGTGGGCGACGTCAGCGACCGACTCAAGCATCAGGCGAAGTGCGACGGACAGGGACCCGTTTTCCCCGAAGGAGCCATCCTCGCTGCCATCCAGGAGAGTGTGTCTTGCGGGAGTGACGAGCTGCTATGAAAGAAGAAGGAAAAGAAGAAAAAGAAAATTGGAGAAAAAGGGGGACGTTCGAAAACAAAAGGAAGGAAGAAAGAAGAGGAAACACACATCTTGCTTTGATTTTGTCCGGAGAGGGCCACCAGCAACACGACAAGTTCATCAGCCTTTCTTGATCGAATGCTACCGACCAACGCCCGTCTTCCTTTGGTTGTCTTTTAACTGTCACGGAGCACATTGCGCAATATCCATGAAGAAGTGGACCGATACGAGCTGACGATGGCATTTATGGGGGTTTTTTTTTTTTTTTTTTTTTTCTCGGCCATTCCATTCAGGAATGTCATTATTCGTACACTCTGATGGATAAGTATAGAAAATCAAGATGGAGATGGTTTGTTCAGCGATCTTTGGAACGGGTCTTCTTTGAACCCATCCTAGCTGGGCGGGATTGAAGGGGACCATGGGCTCACGCTTCATAGGAGTACAGGGAACGGAGGAAGGTTTCTTTGCGTACCTAGCTGGAGAGATTCTTTTGCGCGTTTTGCATACTCGGGAGATGCCATTGACACGACATGGGCGTTTTTATGGTTAGGCGTTCTGGAGGTTGAGCCCTCTGGTCAATTTCAGTCTGGAAATTTCCCCATTTTACCACTTTTACCTCCCCTTCCCCTGGCTAAACTATAAAAAGAAACTCTTCAGCAGACAGACCGGTGAATTCCGTTCGCCATCCTCTTCCTCCGTGGCTCCTCTATGTGCGCCGCGCCTCCCACGGCTCTTTCCTCTTCCTTCTTCTTCTGCTCCCGCTTGGTTACCGGGCCACGATGGCATGCGTGGTGCTCCTGCAACACTACTAGGTCGATCTGATCCTTGCTCATGAGGGTCTCCGTCACGCTGGCAATGTCGGTAACGAGTCTCTCGAGCAGATCGAAAGTCATGGACTCGCGCACCACGACACGCAAGATCTCGATATGGTTCTCGTTCGGCGGCAGCGCGTAGTTGGGTATGATCCAGCCCTTGGCCCTCAGCATCAGGGAGATGGTCTCCTGCTCGATGTGCGGGTACTTGGCTTTGAAGTCGTTGTTCAGCCGGAAGGCGACGACGGGCAGGCCGGCGACGAAGTCGGCGGATGACTCGGCTCCTCCCATGAGAGACGGGGAGGCGGTGGCGGCAACGTCACCGGCGCCGTGTTTGGGTTCGGGCTTCTGCGACCCGACGGCGGATTTGGCCTTCTTGATGGCCGACTCGACGGTTCCTCCCACGTGAGCCTTCTCGCGTCGCTTATGGATGTCGGAGACGACGGTGTACCACCCGGTGGCCTCGAGGCTGTCGGCCAGCAGGCGAGCGTTGGCGAGGGAGCTCTCCATGATGTTGCGGAAGCCCTGCTGGCCGAGGTGGACGAGGTTGAAGTACTGGGCGATAACCTGGCCTCCCGGGCGGCTGAAGTTCAGGGTGAAGGACTTTTCCGTGCCGCCGAGGTAGTGGAGCTCGAAGATGAGGTGTTCTGGGAGAAACGATTCATCGCGCCAGATGATCCAGCCTAGGCCGGCGTAGACGAGGCCGAACTTGTGGCCAGAGGCGTTGATGGACTTGACGCGGGGAAGTTCGAAGTTCCTGAACAGAAACAAAAAAAAAAAAAACGAAGGAATCTTTTCATCAGCTTCCGCGCTTCGTGCTTTGGAGGGCTACGAAATAGCCAGCCCCGCTGGGGAAAGGCCTGATTTTACGACTTACCACTTTGGACCTCCTGCTCCCACGTCGGTGAAGGGAGCGATAAAACCGCCCGAGGCGGCGTCGACGTGGATGGGAATGTCGATGCCGGTCCGCTCCTGGTACTCGTCCAGCACCTTGGACACCTCCTCGACGGGCTCGTAGTGTCCGGTGTAGGTGCTTCCCATGATGACGAAGACACCGATGGTGTTCTCGTCGACATTCTGTCTGACGAGTTCCGGGTCGAGGCGGTAGTGGCTCTTCGCGCTGACGGGGAGGATGCGGGGCTCGACGTCGAAGTAGCGGGCGAACTTCTCCAGGGCGACCTGGGCGTTGGCGCCCATGATGATGTTGGGGTGGAGGGCGTCTTTGCCCTCGGCTCGGCGGCGTTCCTGCCAGCGGCGCTTCATGGCGAGGCCGCCCAGGTGGATGGCTTCGGACGAGCCGGTGGTGGCGGAGCCGATGGCGCGCTCACCCGGCTGGACGGCCCAGAGATTGGCGATGATGCTGATGCAGCGCTGGTGGATGTCCAACAGGGCCGGGTACTCGTCTGCGTCGGCGATATTCTTGGAGATGTTCTCTTCGAGGAGCTTGGTGGCGTTCTCTTCCATGAAGGTGCTCACAAAGCTGAGCAGTCGGGGCGGTTAGTTATGGTTATCTAGTCCACGCCGGGGGGGGAGCGAGACGAAAACGGTTGCCCTCACCTGGCGAGGTTAAGATTAGGCTTGCCGTCCAGGTCCAACTCATCGTGGATAAACTGGTAGACTGTATCGGCCGGGGCGCCATCGGTGGGGATTTTATATTTAGGGAAATTCTCTTGGCTGCTGTATTGGCTATCGAAGGGCTGATAGTGAGTATGAGAGACCCTCCCGGCGTTGAGGAGGTTGGTATGGCCTGGGGATGTAATGTGGGAGACCAGGAGTCGTTGGACGATGTCCTCCGCGTCGACCTACGGGGGGTTCATTCAGGTGAGCCAACATGGCCATGCCCATTCAACAAAAGTTGGACTGTCTTCCAAACTCACATGCGTTGCGAGAACCATTTTTCCTCTTTTTTTCCTATTCAGATATCCCTTGGGGAGTTGATGATTTCTGCTGGGGGGTTGGAAGCAATGGTAGACGGTGCTTGTCCTGATCTTCCAGTCCGTGAGGGTCCCGTCATGGTATGGTCGTGCCTCTTATATATCTGCCCTTTTTAAGATTTCCCTCTCTTCCGAAGTATTTCTCGGTTACGTGATAGCTCGAACCATTTTCCATTATTTTCCATTATGGATGACGACATGGAAGGTAATTGTACCTACTGTATGACCTAAAGGCTACCTAAGGTAGAGGAATGCGAGGGTTTGCACCCGGGCACCTAAGGTAAGGTACATAAGGTACGGAGTAGGTATCCAGATGCGGAGATGCGGCGGTCTCGTCCTGACCTGCCACGAGCGTATGTTTGGGACGTTTCAATTGGTACATACATGTTTGTAATGTAGGTAAGTAAGGTAACTTTTACGTGAAGTAACTTTTAAGTGAAGTGCCCTCATGTCTCATGGTGAACATCGACACAGGAGGAGAGTATAAGCGAGGTGAGAGGAAGCGTGGCCGAACGCATCCATTCCGATATATTATTGCGCTGCACTGGGAATCGGCTTCTCAAATTTACGATAGGGTGATGGACTAGATGGATCCGTAGAGTCGAGAGGTTTGGATGGTTTAGGTATTGCTTCGTACTGAGCAGCACGTGGGTTCCGACAAGTCTGTCGGCCGTGGTCTGTGTCGGCGTTCCGAGCGGCTGAACCTCTTGACTTCCCCGTGTCCAAGGTAACTGACGGAGATACACATCTCATACCTACTATGTATGTATGTACTCCATAAAAGGTAGTGAAGGTACCTGTAGTCCATCACCACGACTCCGTCTACTCGACCAATACCGCCACCCTTTAGCAGCCCGGGAGCTTAATACAGTCTTATGTGAGTTATGGCACTTTATAGACTTGTAGTCTCCGTAAGGAGCTTACGGGGAGACGGCAGTAGAGGTCATCTAAGACAGCATGCGCATGGGACGGCACGCCGCACGAAAGGGAAACTAAAGCGATTTATGTAGTGTCCATGTGTTCTTACATGCAAAACAACGAAAGGTGTCTAAGACCAAGCACAAGTGCGCACAATATAGGAAGTTACAAGACTTTAAATATTGGAAATTGCATATGCCGGCCTCCAGATGCCCTGGAGAACTCCAAGCTCTTGTCCTATGAAACTCACCCTTCCTGACTACCTCCGTTCCGATGTTTCTGATATTGTACATGAATAGAAAAAAGAGAGGGAAAAAAAGGAAAGAACAAGAAGACATATGACACCATAATGCTCCTGCCTGATCTCAAGAAAATATCAAGGTGTTGGATGCTGTCTCAGTCGTATGATAAAGCAACCGTCTGGATCTCACTACCTAACCAAGTATTCAGATCTGCTTTATGTCTTTGTTCTATCCCCTGCCTCAGCTGCAACTATCCTTTCCATCAATGGTATCTCCAGGTGGAACCTGTGCATGGAATGGATTCACCACAGAAATGAACACCAAGAGCGACAACAGCACAGGAGAGAAAGAAGTAGAAGGGCAAAAGGACATATCGAAAGACAGGCTTCCCAGAGCATACCCAGAGCATACGCCCCCCCATATAGAGAGAGACATATACGGAAACACGTCCAGCCTTGAAAAAGGGACAGTGAGATCATGTCCTTCAGCGAGGCTTATGAGCCAATATAGCACGCGCAGAATCCGAACCACAGAGGTCCTTTACGAACGGCCATATAAGCAACGGCGTCTGCACCATCAGTAGCATCGGTAGCATCAGCACCGTGGCACCGCAGTCTTTTAAGCGACCTACTCTCGTTTCCTCCACTGAGATTCATACTACATTTCGAACCCCCAAGCCCCCAGCTCCTGCGATATAGTGCAGCTAGCATCTCGATCAGGGTCCCTTCCGCCACCTAGGTCAGGATCCCCCCGGTTAGTAAGATCCAATACGAACCGTGAAGTACAGAACAAGAGAAGAGAAGAGAAAAAGGGGGCGGGGTAAAAAAAAAAGAAAAAAGAGAAGAAAAAAAAGACAATCGAGAACACGGGCCGGCGATGGGCCGCTCAGGTTACGACACGACGGGAGTGGCGACACGCAGCACGGCAAAGAGTCCAACCGCCGGTGGTCATGGTCAGCCGGCTTCCGCTGCTGCTCGTTCGCCCGGGACCAACGGGCTCGGCGATCATCCTCGGCATCAACCATCACGGTGGGTCTGGCCGTTACCGGAGAGTAGGGCGGAATCAGCATCACCCAGGATAGACAAGCCCGTCGTCGTCAGTGGGGGGCAAGGGCAAGCGAATGAGAGCAGCACCTTTGGAACGCCCGGTCGGGATGACGGCGTCCAACACGGAAATGCAGAGCTGCAGGCGAGGTGGATTTATATTGTCGTCGGTGAACCACACTGGGGGAGAGACCGAGAAGAGTCGACCTGGGCCTGGACGGACGAGAGCTGAAGTGATGGGCAGAGCTACGAAATCACGGGAAAGAGAGGGAGGAGAAGGATCATTCTGATGGGGTCACGAGTCATGATATTTATTAATAACGTCGCGACTGAAATGGTCTCCGGGCGTCGCAACGGAGGTACGTCGGTACATGTGTCGTCCGTTGTGTCCGTACGCGTCCGTACCTACGCATACTTACGGAGTACTTCGTACTGTGTAGATATACCTGACACGGACTACGGCCTACGCCCGTGTACAAAGGTCACAGCACAGTACGGAGAGGTCATAGCAGGAACCCCCGCCGTCCCTGTCCCCTTTGGGCCCGTGGTCATCGGGAGGAATACGTTGTACGGCACGAGCCTCTGATGACACCTCAATCCGATGGCATCCTAAAATAATCTCTACCCTGATTCAATTCAATTCGAAGACCATGGTATGAAGCCATGCCCGACCCTTGACTTGTCTATTTCTTTTTTTTATATGTTGTCTGTGTATTCTTGATTCCCATTGTCTTCAACTCTAACGCTATCCCTCCCGTTTTCCTGTCCGCTCCGCTTCTTCTTCTTCTTCTGCTTTTCGTTTCAACTCGTCAACCATTTGGGCATTGAATTGCATCGGGGCTGGACCGCGATCATGGCCTCACCCTCGTTCGATCCCGCGACCCGAAAGAAGGTTTTGCGGGTCATTACCTTCTCTCTCCTTCTCGACCTGGTAAGTCGCGCTTGGTAGAAGCAAAAGCAGCAAGAGTAGCAGCAGGAAAAGCTGCAACGATAGCAGGATTGCGTTTCCTCGTATCAGGCTCGAGCTAACAATGGCTGCGCAACCGAAAAAAAAATATAGATCTCGTTCACATTCATCCTTCCCCTCTTCCCGAAACTGCTCGAGTTCTACCGCGACCGAGAAGCTCCGGCCGCCATCTCCGGAAACCCCAACACCCTCCTCCAGACCGTTCTCAGCTACCTGAACAAATACAAGGCCTCCTTTTCTCGACCCATTGATTCTCGCTATGACATTGTTCTTCTCGGTGGTGCACTGGGAAGTCTCTTTTCGTACGTCCTCTTTTCTTTTCTCTTCCAGTCCCTTTCTTGGACCGTTGGCAGCGCCGCCCCCCCGCCCCCCGCCACTCCACGCGCACTGCCGTTTCTTATGCTAACCCAGCGTTCTCCCCACCAGCCTCTTGCAAGCCATTGCGTCACCCCTCATCGGCACCCTATCCGACCGCCATGGCCGCCGCACGGCGCTCCTCGCCTCCATGATGGGAAACATCCTCTCGGTCCTCCTCTGGGTCGCGGCCGTCGACTTCCGGACCTTCGTCGCGTCCCGCGTTGTCGGCGGCCTGTCCGAGGGCAACGTCCAGCTGGCCACCGCCATGGCCACCGACATCTCCGACGAAGCCTCGCGCGGCTCGACCATGGCGCTCATCGGGGCCTGCTTCAGCGTCGCCTTCACCTTCGGCCCGGGCATCGGCGCTTACCTCAGCACCATCCCCACCGTCCGGGAGAATCCCTTCGCCACCGCGGCCGGCGTCAGTCTCGCCCTGATCGTCACCGAGACTGTGTACCTGTACTTCTACCTGCCCGAGACCCTCCCTGCCTTGACCGGTCGGGGCGGGAAGACGAAGGGCGGACACGAGAAGAAGAAGGAGGGGAAGGGGGAGGGGGAGGGGGAGACATCGGCGGGCGCCACGCGAGGACAGCAGCAGCAGCAGCAACAACAACAACAACAACAACAACAACAACAACAACAACGGACAAATTCGCATCTCACGCTCAACGCCATCCACTTCGCCTTCCTGCTCTTCTTTTCCGGCATGGAATCCTCCCTGTCCTTCATGACCTACGACCTCTTCGGCTTCGGGTCCGCCAAGAACGGCCGCCTCTTGGGCTTCGTCGGACTCGTGGCGTCGATCCTCCAGGGCGGCGTCACGAGGCGGCTCCCGCCCCTGACGTCGGTGCGTCTGGGCACCGTCGCGTGCCTGTCGGCCTTTGTGCTGCTGGGCCGCATCACCACCACGGGCGGGCTGTACGCGGCCGCCACGTGTCTGGCCGTGACGTCGGCCACCGTGGTCACGGGCCTCAACGCGCTCAGCAGCTTCGAGGCGGGCGAGGGGGAGCGCGGCGGGAAGCTGGGCATGCTCCGGAGCTGGGGTCAGCTGGGGCGCGGGCTCGGTCCCATCCTGTTCACGAGCGTGTACTGGTGGGCCGGGCGCGAGGTCGCGTATGGCATGGGCGCCGTCGGCATGGTGGTTGTCGTCTCGGCCGTTTTCGCCGGGCTGAAGACGCCTCCTGGTTCGGGCAAGGTTAAGGCGACGGGGGAGAAGAAGGCACAGTAAGGGGTAAGGGAGAGACGGACGAGAAGAGGGACTGCACCAACGGTCTAGGCAACGTTTATCTTATGTACCTATACTTTCGCTTATATGATACAAATTGCAGGGAGGAGCTGCTATGCATAGTATAGTGTAGACTGCACTGCATGTGGACTCGAAATGACGAATAGTTAAGTAACGGCTTCTTTAAACAGTTTCTTCATTGTCAAAATTGGTATGATGTACGGGGTTTTGGCTACCTTATGTTGTCGAAGCGAAATGTTTGGTACACGTAGAAATAAATAGTCGAGGCCGTTTGAAGTCCTCAAGACAAGGTACTTAGGTACTTGACTGCAACACACCGTGTGGAGTACAATCACACACTGTATACATACTGTATGAGGTACTTCGCTCACTGTTCGTTCACTTCAAGCCGAGTCATCCATCCATCGCCCCTCTCAGGTTCACCTCAGTCGACTTTTTCTCATACAACCTAACAAGCCAGCCATTGTAAAGAGACAATTTCTCACATAGTTGCCCTTCACATTTCAGCCGTTTGAACACGATTCCAATAGCTGTGCTTTGTTTTGCAAGCCAGACCAAAACTCCGGTGTGCCGAGGAACCAAAAAAAATCCCCTCCTTCCGGGCTAGAGAATGCACATCCAACCCGTGGACAACGCCACCGACTACGAGCCGTTCGTCATGGCCATACCGCCAGATCAGGTGGACCTGGGGCACATCCTCGGTCCGGACGGTGCAGGGGACACCTTTGATGACATCTGGGGCTCGGAACCATCTTCCCCTACGGCCCTAGAACGGGGCCATGACCATGACCATGATCATGATGCCACCACCACCTCGGACGTCCCCCGCCCCCGCGAGACGGCTCACCACGTGTCTGACATTCCGAGGCTTCAAGCCGAGCACACAACGGCGGGATACCGCGAGGGTGTCACGGCAGGGAAAGCCGAGAGCCTCCAAGCCGGCTTCGACGAGGGCTTCAGCCTAGGCGCCGCCATCGGGTCCAAGGCCGGCCAGCTCCTCGGCCTCCTCGAGGGGATCGCGCAGGCCCTCGCCGGCCACGCGGACACGACGACGGCGGTGGCCCGGGAGGAGGCGACAAAGGCGGTCCAAGACGCCCGCGCTGACCTCAGCAAGGAGCGGCTTTTCACGGCGGACTTGTTCAACAGCGACGGGACATGGAAGTACCCGGTTGCCGGTGGTGCGGCGGCCTTTTCGGCAGGCGAAGAAGGGGATGGCGCTACCGTAGCCGAGGAGGGGGACGTCGTGTTCGCGTCCGTGGCTGACGCACACCCGCTGATCGCTCGGTGGACGGCTGTCGTGGATGCTGCTATGGAGCGGTGGGGGATCGATCCTGCCATCTTTGACGAAGCGCGGCCCCACGACGATGGTGACGACCATCATGACCACCACCACCACCACCACCACCACCACCACCACCCTCACCAGCGCGAAGGCGATCGTCGTCAGGCTCCCTTGGAGGAGGAGAGGACCTCGACTAGTGTAGCGCCTCCGCAGAGCAAGAAGCCTTTGGATTGGTGAGACGAGAGTGAATGGTCGAAGAAAGTCATGGGCCAAGGATGTACTTTACTTCACCAGCGTTCCGTCTACTCGTAGCGACCGCGTGTTTTTGCGCCCGCGTCAAGGCCAATGGCACAAAATCCCGCGGACGCAAACACACCAGGGAGCGAAAAGAAAAAAAAAAAAAAGAGTCGCATCTTCGGTCAGGGGGCAGACAGCCAGCCAGCAGCCAGCGCACAGCACAGCACAGCACAGCACAGCACGGAGTCTACAATGAAAAGCGGCGGAGGCAAAACTCGAAACTATAATACCGCAAGGCCTGGTTTCTCCATCTCAGGTCAATTCCGACCGTACGGGAGACTTACCATCATCAAGTGGCAGGGATATCTTAAGAGGATCGAATGGGATCGAATGGGATCGAATGGGATCGATCGTTCAGTCTCAGTCGTTCAGTCGACAGGCTTCCAATTCTCGATTATCGGGTTGACGATTTGATAATGCAGCTTCGACTTGGCAAACCATCAACGTTACGCCATCGATTATGGTCTAGACCGGTGGTTGCAAGTCGACCTCAAGGCCAGCCCGGTTTTCCAGGCCCCATGCAGTGGTCTGTATGGTGGCATTCGTGGCATTCGCCTGGTTTATCTGCAGGGGTAGAAGGCGAGGCCAATGACTAGCGTGCAGTTGTAGTGTACGTGTAGTGTAGTGCGAGGAGAATGCCGACGACCGAAAAAAGTTGGCACATGGAATCGCGAACAAAGGGGGCGAGTGAGAAAAGAGAGAGAAACCAAAAAGGGGTCGCAGAGATACGTGTAAAAGACTCGCGCTGATCTTAACGACACACGGCGGATAGCCCGATATTAGGATAGTCTCTCTTTTGTGCGGTTTCGATGGAGAAACAGTAGAAACACTGGGCAGCAGATTGTTTCAAGAAGTTGGACGGCGGCAGTTCGTTGCGTCACCAACAGGGGGGTTGTCCACCAAGTCCACCATGGACTCAGGCACCATGTCCCTGTTCCGTTGGCCTGCAGCCCGTTGACAACTTGGCTGCTGGCGGCTTAAGGTTCTCGGGCAGGTTTCTGTGGGGCGTTTGGGGCGTGTTTTTTCAACGCCGGGCAGATGCCGATCTTTTGACATATGGGGGTGGTCTCCCCCTGAGTGTCTCGGCACCGGTCGAGTTAACAAGAGCCGTTTCCCGCCAGTGGACTAGACTTTCCGGCTTTTCAGGGGCCCAAAGTTCAAAGTTGTGTGCGCCGATCGGACTTTATACTCCGTACACTACGTGTACTGGCGAAGGCAACGCAACGGTTCCTGGTTAACCACCCAGTCGCGTGTTCTGGCGACGCACCACGACCCAACCCTGGCTCCCCTCCTCCTCGTCCCCGTAGGTACACTACACTACTATACACTACGTGTAGCTTACGAGTACGTGGAGATACATGACGCGCACAAGGCCCAACGCCCCCCCCGTATCTGTACACTACGCTTATCCTTCGAGACGATCATGTCCAAGCAAGCCGATCATGCCGCTCCTGGGAAACCCACAACTCCCTTACCGGCAAGGAGAAACGACTCAAAAAGGGGGACCGGCCCCCCCTATCCATCCGTCCCCCGACCTTCGCTCCCTCTCCTTCCTCTTCCTTTCCTCAGTATCTCTGATACCCATCCACACGTTCGCTCACTGTCACTCGCTGAGATAGCACCTTCGTAATACTCCGTCGCGT